CCTCCTCAGTGCGGCTCCGCGCACGAACGTCAACTGGTCCCGTCAGGGAGGTGGGTGGGACTTCAATCTGACAGCCGGCTCGAGCAAGCTCTCAAATGCAAAAAAATTAGTTTGCGTGCCAGCCGATGTGGCCTCGCGTGCCAAGCCGGGCACGCGTGCCGGGGGTTGCCGACCCCTGCTATAGACAGTATTTCCTGCCTTTTATTTGTTCTAGGAAACAATATTTGTTCTAGGAAACAATATTTGTTCTAGGAAACATTGTATGAATCAACATTACATTATAAGGATGCACCAATACAGATATACCCGTGAAAATGCCCTGATACTAAACGCTGATGCCAGCGCTTTACATTTTTAAAGTGAAGCCAGTGTTGTAAACAAGCAATATGGTTCACAGGAAGCCTGCCAAGGTCACCAGCAAGTGAGGGACCGCGGCAGCCTTCCTGTGAACCGTGGCACCTGTTTACAGGGCCAGCCGCACGTCTCCTCCTGTTTCCTGAAACCATGCCACCTGCAGCAGCCCGCAAGACCAACTGGACCCCTGGTGAGACCCCGCACAGCCCACCTGAGACCCGCACAGGCTCCTAAGACCTGGCACAGCCCACATAAAACCGCACATTAGAAGGTTTTTCACAAGATCTTAGAGCGTGCCTATGCTTAATTGAAATTGTGAGGCCAGGTACTGATGTTGGATAAGGAGAACCTGCTCACATTGGTCATTCCAATAAATTCCAAAGGTGTTAAATAGGGTTGAGATCAATGGTCTCTGCACACTACTCCGGTTAATACCCAACATACACATCCCACCATGTCTTTATGGAGCTTTGTGAACTGGGCCACAGTCACGTAGGAATAGAACAGGGCCTTCCCTAAACTATGGGGTCTATTCACGAAGCTGCCGAGGGCAGCCGAGTGAATGACAGATCTGAAGTGAAAAGGTTGAAAGTACACAATTGTATAAAATGTAAAATTGTACGCTGTAGCATTAAAAGTATGCCTCACTGTAAACTCAATAATTTGGAGGGAAGTCAACATACCTTTGGCCATATTATAGGTATGATAGATGTGTAGGTGGTCAGGTGCCCATAAACCTTTTGTCACATTGCATATAAATTATGCTATATGTAATTAGAGGTAATCCCATTTGGAATTTCTATGAACCCTTACACATCAGCTGATACTTTATATCAGAGTAAGAAGGTCAAGGAAGCTTTGAAGATTTCATGTTTCAGACAGTAGGGGAACAGGGGTTCTTAGGCATGTTATGGATTTGAGGTATATACATAGTATTATGTGCTGGCAACACAGAGAAAAACTAGACGTTTGGCCTCAAAAAAGCTAAAGACAGTTATATAGCATGTTGGGTACTGGCAGAACCAGTAATTGGATACAAACATGTAGCTAGACAGCAAATATTGCACGTTTCACTCTCTTTTTAAAATGGTGTTTATGTAGCTAGACAGCAAATATTGCACGTTTCACTCTCTTTTTAAAATGGTGTTTACAACATAAAGCTAATAAAGTAATGCATGCCGACCAGTGAAATTCATTGGTAAGTTTCAAGTAAGGGTGCCCCAAGCCTATAGATCATGCACCTCCTGGGGCTTCCATAAAGGTTGCTTAACCAGTTGACATCCGCGGTGTTAAACCCCCTTCCCATCTAGGCCATTTTTCAGTATTCAGCGCTATCTTCTTGGTGCATTATTATACTTGAATCAACCACAAACTCTGTGCTTGATATTTGGTTCACCTACTTCCACGCACCAAGCCTTCCTACTGCCTAATGAGTCTGCCCACCACCCTGCTCTATGGACCTGGGGCCACTTCCCAAGGTAAACTGAGCTCATAGGTTCACTTCAAATAATGAAAAAGGCCAATGTGACATTGCAGTCAGGCAACATATATGATCCCTTACATATAAATGGTTTCCAGACAAAGTACACAGAAAGAAAACAGCTCCCATTTAATCTGAGATTACCCTTTGCGGGTCACGTAGAAACTGCAACAGACTCAACTGTCAGAGCCATTTTAATTATCAAAAGCCAGGCAGAAACACAATAAAAAGTGATTTGCAGATTTATCTTCTAAACAATTCCAGACAATGAAAATTGGCACTGGCACACATTAAACAAATCATTTTTTCAACTACAATTCAAAACAGTAATGTGCAATAAAGTGTTGTGATTGTGAACACAGTTAACATTGTCTAAAACTCTCAGGAAAATATCTATAAGAGGTGATGGTGCTTATGCTGTTTTACAAACATGACTAGCTTTAGAAATGTGATCAATGTTAAAGTTGTGATAATTAAATATACAGAGTTGTTTTCCCATTACATAGTTACATAGTATTTGAGGTTGAATAAAGACATTAGTCCATCAAGTCCAACCTATTAGGATCTCATTCTAGGAGTACCCGTACCCCTGTATATTACGGTCCCTTAAGAAATCGTCCAAAAGTTTCTTGAACAATTCCACATTATTTGCTGAAATCACCGCCTGTGGCAGTGAGTTCCAGACCCTAACTGATCTTACTGTGAAGAACCCCCTTCGCCCCTTGTGCTGGAATTTTTTTTCCATCAATTTTAGGTGATGGCCTCTAGTTTTTGTAACGGAGTTAATTTTAAACAGTTTATCGCTAATGTTGCTACCACCATTAAACATTTTGTACATGGAAATCATATCCAGCTTACTAAAACATTTGTTTTTATTATTTCAAGCAGTTATTTTAGTTCTTTTATTAGGGAGATGAAAGGGTCTTGGAGAAGGGGCATTGCTGCCATGGACTGAGATGTGAGAGACAACTCTTCCAAGGCTTCACTAAGCACTCAAGTATATTAAATCACTCAGCCCAACTCACTTTTGTAACCGGAAATCTGGAGTTGTGGTGGGCTCTTTATTGATGCCTGGGTGAAGAAGGCTTTGGTAGGTGAATATCTAAATGCAGGGATGGGTATTTTTATCTTTAAAAGCTGAATACCCAGAGCCAACATTTCAAAATCCTTTAGACAAGTTTGTCTAAAGTTACCACTAGCATGTGTGAATCCAGTGTTTATTTTATTCCTACAATTTAAAAATTAGGTTTTTATTTGAACCAGATAATACAGCTCCCACTGTACTTTCGCTCCCCCTCCTTCTATGATAACAGTGCTAGAAGTAGGATAGACACCAGCGTTGGTGATGTGCCTAACTCATCTAAGTTTTCCAAAAAAAGCAAAACACACCAGTGCAGCATCATCGCAGTCTGTGTTTTGTGAATGGGCAAGCAAAGACAGTGAGACGCAACATGAAGGTACAGCGGAGACGCAACATGAAGGTACAGTGGGAACTGTGTTGCCTAGCGAACTAAAAGCCCACTTTGTAAGCTGTAAGGATAAAATAAACTGCATTGACCCATGACAGAGGTAACTAGCCTCCATCCCTCTAAAGTGATTGGGTGTTAGCTTTAAAGTGTACCTTTAAACTATAAATTTAGAGCATAGAAAAACAAATTCCTAATACCTACAATGCTCTGATTCAGTCTCTCTGCATATTTCAAAGCCACAGCTCTGCATCTGCCATACAGTCCTGCTGAAAACCTAGCACTGATGCCACTCTTTGTACTTCAGCAAAGAGCATGGCTGGGAGGTGCACTTCCCAGAACTCCCTGCTTCCCAGAAGCACTGCTTCTTGTGTCCTTCATCGGTCTATAAGAATTGTCTCCTCCCACACAACCCATACATTATTAATGATAATGAGGAACAGCATGAATATATTGTAATTGGGATAACGGGAAATGTAGTTTGTGTGACTCCACCCAGCCAGCATAAATTAATAAAAGACTCCAGCCAAATTCAGTAGCTGTTCTCACTAAATGAAACTTACCAAATAGGATGTGCACAACACTATATAGAGATTATATCCAGTAAAGAAGAAAAATGTAAGCCACTTGTGATTCATTTTCTTTTGCAGATCACCCAGTTACAGTAAGGTATCAAGTGGTTCTAGGGGCAACTGGAGAAAGCTATAGGTAAAACAGAAAGATGCTTCTGCCAGCAGAGTGGACTGACCCAGTCACAACCTCAATAACCCTCTGAAGTGGACATTACTCCAGGAAACGTGTCAAGAACTGTACATCTGTTGGGTTTTTTGTTTTGTTTTTTTACTTTTAAAGCTTTCCTATCACAAACAGTGGCAATGTGTGCCAATTATTAATAAGAATAATAGATGAAGGTCATAAGAGGAGGAGCTCAGCAGTCAGGGATCTCTGTCTTATTGTGTCTGGTACATTCAATTTCTTCACATTCATTGGAAGTCTGATATGCAGTCGGTCTCTGTCTTCTGTAGGGTGGATCGTCTTTGGAGCAGAGATGAGCTCCTTCTGGCATCAGCACCCAATGGCTCGGGGAGGAGCTTGTGTGCGACACTTGTTTTTTATTTTTCTGTGACTAAATACAATTTGTTTATTCAATGCGTTACTTTAAAATGCTTGTTTGAATAGATTTTTATGTTCTAAAAAATGATGATGACATTTTTTTTTTAAGGGCAGCTATGTATTTTATTTGGTATAGGTTATAGCTCTTTTCATGGCTTTATTGATTAAGGACAATAGTCCTCCCACCATTAATATGACTAACATTAACAAAGGCCTTAGAGCTAAACAGTTTGTGACAATATCTAAACATTCTCCCTGCACCAATCACATGTTTTGCAAAGTTCCAGGCAGGAGCACCTATAGAAAAACCATCAAATTAAATGAAAATCTTACCACTTCTTCGTGTTTGCACTTCCTCACGTTAATACCATTGATCTGTAATAAGATACAATATTTAATATTTGTTGTTACACAGTTATTAAAAATGAAGGACTTGACATGAAACACTTGGCAACCCTACCTGTAGAATAGCATCTCCGATGAAAAGAAGTCCTGAGAGCTCTGCTGTAAATTATATAAATGTAATCAGATTACTTAAAATGTATCTACATCCAAGAACAAAAATGTAATATATTGCAGCTTACCAAGCCTTAGATGTGGGGGCTGCAATAGTTTTCTTTTTATGCTATTGTCTTTATTTTAACGTGATCACCTGGCCAGTAACACCTTCCCTGTCTAATGTGGCTATGCTCACTCCTCCACTATATCTATGGAGAAGCAGCATTGTCATCCTGTGGAGAGGGTAGTTTTAGATGGACAAGTAGATTCAGGTGGACTTTACATAAGTGATTAACAAATTAAAGCAGAGTTACAGCCAGCACTTTTTAAGCAATTACAGTAAAATATTTTTCATTTTTGGGACACACAGTTTTAACTCTATGCATTGTAAGCTCCTCTGTCAGTGTTAAATGGTTATTCTTAACCCTCTATCTGCCACTTTTGCTGGACAGCTTGGTATGCTAAAAGCAGTTGAAAAATAACTAGCAGAATCAAAAGGTAATCAAACTATGTTACAGGGGGACTCTGGAGAGATAAACACAAGCTGCTGTGTTAATGCTAGTGACAGACTGCATCATATAAGTCATAATTTATTTTACCTTTAGTTCTACTTTAACATGAAAAAACATTAGAAACTTCTATGGTTGTAAATAACAGTCATGCTGAAAATGTTAGAAAATATGATTTTTCTCTCTACTCTACAGGGTTTACCATACTGAGAAAGCCAAATGTAAGATACAGAAACTCATTTTCTAGCTGCCAAAAGTGCAACACCCGGGAAGAACACATTAATCCTCTTCAGTCTCCTATGGGCAGTTGCGGGAGTCACAAACTTGGTAATTTTGGTATTCAGAGATTGCATTTTCTTGATTAGCATGGAGAAGGATGCATCTATCTGCCACAGTGGTATAATTCAATTTGCCTTTAATTTTTCCCCAAGTAATAATTTATTTTTTCATTATCCAGTCATCACACAGAGACTGGAAAGCTTTGCAATGACTCTTGGAAAAAAAAACATGTGTACTTTGTTCATCAAGGCAAAAACCCACATGGAAAATCATTTCAAAAGATAAATGAAAAGGATGCATGCATGTGGTTTATTTACATATTGCAGAGTCACTGCTCTCCAGGCAGGCTAATTATAGTACACTGGCAGAGAAAATATCTTGTTTAATACTTGCAGGTTTCATTTTATTATTTGCTAGCTTTTTCATGCAAATATATTTCCATGCTGCAATGACTAAAAGGGTGCTGTGCAGAGGGTGTGTTGGCAAGGGGGAGGTCGGGAGGAAGAAATGGCCCCTATAATGATCCCACTTTGTTCCTTAAGCCTATTAATTCAAATCTGTAATACAGCAGGCAGGGTATATGGCTCAGACACAGTGGTTGTATGATCACGGCTTCTATCATTTACAATGAAGTGCTAAGCAAGTTGGCCTACTACACATTAAAGGGCCACTTTATAACAGACCAGCATTCTGTGCTTAATTTATAAAATTACGGTCTTTTCTGAAAGCTCTGGTGTTTTTCATAGTGTTTTATGCATAAAGCTGGTAGGAGATAGGAGGAGAGCCCGGTCACATGACCCATAAGTCATGCGACAGGTTTCCTCCTTCTGCAAGTGATTTTTTTCCCCTCAGTTTATTAAAATGAATGGGGCTTCATGTGCATGGAGAATCTGAAACAGAAAGCACATTTATAGAAAACGCTGCTGTACTTTATAAATGTGCTGGAGAATTGATCTTTCTTTATAGTAGAAATATCAAAGTTCCACTTAGGCCATTTGGCTGTTTTATATTTAGCCCCTTGGTGTATTATTACCCTTTTTTGTTGCCTTTACACAGATGAGCAGTATGAATGTTGGCAGCTATAGCAGCTACAGAATAGCACAATGTTTCCATTAACCTACCAGAGATCCCTACACAGTTTTTCCATTAGGCTATAATGAATATATTTGTGTTGTTTTACTGGGTTTTAATAGACTTTTACTATCATTTCCTATTACGCTATAAAAGTTCAGCAGTGTGATTGCTTCCACTGAACTATAGGGGATTTTTCCATACTTGTTTCCTGGGATGTTCATATTGTATAGCACTATGATCTTCCAACTAGACTAATACGGCCTAGCTTGAATTATACTATTTTGCCACTTAGTTAGAAAGGATTGTCACCTGGTACAGGTTTCTAGTCCTCCACCCATTTAATTTGTTCTATTATTGTTATATCCCTATGAAGGGAACCTATTCCTTGCCCATTTAGGGCAAAGCAGCAGGTTAATTTTAAAGGATAACTAAACCCAAGAACAAAATGTATACTGCACCTTACAAGTCCTTAGATGTGGTGGTTGAATTTGGTTTCTTCTTTTTCAGGCTAAAAACATTTTAAGCAAGTGCAGAAACTACCAGTTGACCTTGCTCGAAATGCAGTGTGGTTGTCTCTTCTTGGAAACTTAACAGACAGAATCGACAATCTTTATAATGCTTCTATAAATTACCAATACCATAAATTCCAATGTAATGTAGATGAACACAGGCAGGCATGTTTGAAGTCCAGCCTGGGTGGCAAAAATGAACAGGGGACTTGCAGGAATACCAGGAGAAAATAATGGGAAAAAGCCTAAAAAAAAAAAAAAAATGCAGGCACCTCATCTACGAAGTGGTATGCTGCAATGTATTCATTTTTTTTGTTTTTGGGTTTAGATACTCTTGAACAAGAGTCCCACAGCTGCTTCTATTCATTCCCCCACTGCTCCATTCTGTCTTTAGTAGTGAGCTCTGAATTACCCCCTTATCCCCATGTAATAGTACTGGGAACAAAAGTGGCCAAATCGCCAAGCACCAGCACTGTAAAATGGGAGAGAAGGAGGAGTCACCTGTTGAGTATTTCTTTTTAAGAAGAGAAGAATATGTGAATCTGTGCTGCTGGTGGGGCTGCTTTTAACCACTTGCTGACCAGGTGTTTAAACTCCTTCCTGGCCAGGCCATTTTGCAGAATTCAGCGCTGCAATACTTTGACTGACATTTATTACCTCATGCAACGCTTTACTGAAATGAAATAAATACAATTTTTTGGGGACAGATAGAGCTTTCTTTTGGTGGTATTTAACCCCTTCATGACTGAGCTAGTTTTCAGGTTCTGTTCATAAATGACTGACACATTTTTTACATTGACAAAGAAAAAAAGTTTTGTTTTTTTACATTATGTTAGGAAATAATTATTATTACCCAATTTTTTGGTAACATATAAAAGACGGGGTCACGTCGGGTAAATAGACACCAAACATGTCAAGTTTTAAATTGCGCGCACCTGCGAAATCGCAAAAAACTACCATACCCAAAATTGACCATAGGCGACGCTTTAAAAGCTTTTACCGCTGTTCAGTTTAGTGTTGTTGGGAAATTAATGGCCCGAGAATTATTGCTCTCGCTGCGACGTCTGTGGCGATATGTAACATGTGCGGCGTAATGGCCGCAATCGTCATTTTTGCACGTATGTGCACCCAATGCATGGGTGGGGATTTTAAAAAAACATTTGTGTTTTTTTAATTCTTTTTCATGTGTAACTTTAATTTTTTTTTGCAACTTTAATTTTTTTTTCCTATTTTTTTTCCACTTAACTTTATTGCTATCACATAGGGGGCTAAGAAAACCACCTATGTGATAGCAAAGAGGAGGTGACAGGTCCTCTTTATGGAGACATCAGGGGTCTCCAAGACCCATAATGTCACCTAGGACCCCCCAAAGAAGCTGATGAGGCAGAGACCTGCTTCATCAGCTTCTCTCCAGTGTCTGAAGCCGTAGAGTGACACAAGAATGCAGAAGTGATGTAACATACATCACTTCAGCATTCTGACAGTGGAGAGGGAATCGTACGGAGATCGTGTACCGATCTCCCTCTGATCCCCTGTCACGGAGCCACTATGCTGGTCCCGGGCTCGCACCGGGCACAACGGAGCCTGGGACCAGGGGGGGCCGCAAAGAGGGGGGGGGGCGCTCTGATCGAAACCCCATACAAGCGATCCGCTTGCTCTATAGCGAGCAGATCGTTTGTATGTAAACAGGCATCGTTGCCTGTTTTTAAATTTAGGCAGTTTTCCGACATGCGCGAGTGGGCAGTCCTGGCGAGACATTTGAATACGCCCACTTACATCTAGGAAGCTTCCGGCTGGCCGTATTTTGACAGGGGCCAGCCATGAGGCGGTTAAAGTGAACTTGTTGAGTTTCCCTGCAAAGGTCTAGATTAGGGAGAATATCTAATGATTTTGACATATATGACATTCTAGTCTATTGTAGAGTACAGTATATTTTCCAGTGTCTGGTTCTAGCTTTTGTATTTACTGCAAAAGCAGTCTAAACCAGACAACCAGTATTACAATACTTGTGATTTCTTACATTTGCTGTTAGAAAATGAAACTATATTTATATATCTTATTAGGTAAAAGATCAGTGAAGAAATGAATGCATAAAGTTTGAATAAACAGAATATTATCTCAGTTCGTGATAACAGAACTGAAATCAAATAACAGAAAGAAATCAAATCAAATTTCCCTTCGGCTTTTTTGGGTGGAGTGAGGAAGGGTTTGAACTTCTGCCATGACTTATATAGTCACATCCTTTGCATACTTGTTCCAGGTAAAGGTATGCAAAATAGTAAACCTGGCAGCCAGGCACCTAGCACTTCCAGAATGAGAAGTAGCAATAGCAGCCTCCATGTATATCTCAGAAATGTTTTTATTAAAAAAAATATTATGAGCACACTTTCAAACTTTACACTTTGCACACTTTCAAACCTTAGCAGCAATGTTTGGAATTTTCATAGATATTCCTACATCCATATACATTTAGCATACCTCTTTGTTCTTTGGATATCTTTGATATAACAACTGGGATGTTATGTTCAGCTCCTCCCTAGAAAAATACATAAAATAGAAATTATAGTTGTACATGTAGGAAGCAAGCATTAAAGCTATTATTCTGAAAACAACATGATAAATAGCATTATAAGGTGCTCAGGCATTCAGCAACAAAATTATTGATAAAATGTTTTGTGCTAGCCCACATACACACAAGTATGCTCCTATCTTGTGTGCTGCATATGAACTGCTGTAACCTGCATTCCTTGCTTACATCTGAGCATGAACCATAGTGCCTTATCCTTGTTAGAAATGTTCAAACCTGACATTAAGTCCCACAGAGATTTGCTTCAGTTGTTGTCAAGTGTACAGACACCCGGTGACAGGTAAGATGCAAACCTTGCCAGAAAAGGCAAAGAGGGCAAGGGAAGTGTGGTGACACAGCTTACAGACCTCAGAGAAAAAAGAAAAAAACACTGTAGGAAAACCTGTCTGTATGTTAAAAAAAATTGCTTAATGAAAAAGAAGAGAATCTTAAGGGTACGCATCAAGTATTAAAGGAGAACTATAAGGTGAGTGATTTTCACTCACCTCATAGTTCTAGCCGACCTGTGACAATGAGACTGTCATAGGTCGGCTCAGTAGATCGGGAGGTGAGCGAACACATACTGGCGTTCGCTCACCTCTCGATCCTGTCACGGCTCTCTGCCGTGACAGGGGAGGGGCTGGATTCCCCCCTCCCCGATCCGCCAGCGCTGACTGGTGGAATGGACGGGGAGGGGGTACAGCTGGCTCTGCCTCTAGATAGGCAGAGCCAGCTGTCAGTCACGCAGCTGGGCGGATACCGGCATAGTTGTCGGGATCCGCTTCAGCTGCGACGTCTCAGTATACCGCGAGCTACACCTCGCAATATGCTGTGCCTAGTGTGATGGGAGGACGCTAGTTTGTGTCCTCCCGTTACCCTAAGGAGAACTATGGGGAAAAGCCTTAACCCCATAGTTCTCCTTTAAAGAAAATAGTTGCAGGGCAGAAGGTGGCTGTTTGTCTCATTTAAGAAGTAGTTGGGCTTTAACTGTATACTTACTTTACATGTGTATTTATAAACAATTTGCAGGGCCATTAGTAGTGCCAAACTTCATGGTGTTTGTTCTGTGCGCAATGGTCTCCAAAACAAACATTATTAGTACATTTTCTTTCTGATTTGAATGTACTATTTGTAAAATACCACATTATGGCCACTAGATGGAGCTGAGGAGCACAGGGAAGATGTATGTATTGCAACATTTAATGATGTTATTTCGAAATTACATTGGACTTATAAAGAAAATACATGTTCCATGCAGGCATCCAATCTCACAGAATGACCATTCACAGAGATTTGCAGGGTCTATGGCTCTGCTAATTGTTCATAAATCTGAAACTTTGCAAAAAATGAGCACTGGCCACTGTCACTGGGATAAAACATTTTACACGAACAGCAATACAGGAATATTCTTCCAAATGGGGACAGCTGCTCTGGTGACAATCGTCTAAGTGGGATTTCCCGTCTCTTTGGAGATATTATTGCTTACTTCCCATGCATTTGTGAACAGACAGCAAAAACAAAATGTAGCAGAGATTTTAACAAGCCTGCACTCTATTCAAAACAAATAAATATATATTAGGATATGCAGTGGGCAGGAATAAGAACCGCTGTCAAGTTTTTATTGATGTCGGTTTTACTATTTTAGAGCGCTCACCTCAGGTGTGGTCACCAGGACAAGAAGTGAGGAGAAAGCCTAAACATGAGGAATCTCTCGGCAATAAAAAAATGTGACAGTGGTTAGAACCCTTCTTCACTATGATTAAAACCAAAAATAAGTTAAGGACAAATCTACTTTGCAGTCAACCTGGAAGTCTTATAATCAAACACTGGGGAAAGTGTTGAATTACTGGATGTATTGTGGCACTAATATATTTGCTTAGAAGTCTCAAATTGCTGTGGCAGACATTGTTTCTCTAAGTACAATTAATACAGATTGCCTGCCTGTGTTTAGTTGTCAAGGTAGAAGGTGGTGACAGGAAACTTGTATTGCTTCTGCTTCAGTCTTCTAAATTGTTATGTAATAAATTGTGTAAACATTCTGAGAATTGTTAAAGTTTGTTGTCTGCAGTATAACAATCAACTGAACAATGGGCAGTAAATATTGAAAATAGTAATTCACACAACAGTATTTGCCCTTGCCTGTCTGCAGCTGTGTGACAAGTTTCAAACCTTTTAGGCAAGACAGGATAAAGATTTACATTGTCATGAGCATAATTTCAAGAAATACAAGTAATGATGTAAAAAAACAAATAGATAAAACAATAAATATGACCAGGCAGAAATGCCCTCCATGACCCGATCCATAAACAGAGAAAAGTTATTGCGTACCAAATAACACTAGAGCAAACTATACCACACAAACATGGTGTCATGATAGTAAATAGGGTTGTTACAATTGAGATAATCCCAATAATGTGCCAATATGTCACCAAACACATTTTCAGAAAAAAATAAAGAACTAGAAAATACAGTATGTGCCAGTTCCTTCAATTGGTAATTCAGAATGGAGAAAATAAAAAAAGGGAAATGTGCTTTTGGGGCACAGGCCACTAGGCCTTTTACAGAGGCAGCAGAGACAACAGTGGGAAAGCTGCTTTGAACTTTGCTTACTACAAAATTGAAATACATACGGCATACGAGAACTGTTTTACCTAACAAAAGGTTTGTAAATCCGTACAGCAAGCTTTGTAATCCAGCTACCCCTGAAAGACAGTATAGCCAGGTCCTTAAACTTCATTAAAGTAGCAGCACAGCTTAGTTAAGGTAAGTACATTGGATGAAACTCCTCATTGCAAGGACCCCTGGCTGACTGGACAATGAGGGAGCAACAGCACATTTATGATATCATCCTCACTTTCTCTTCCTGTCAGCATGTTCACTGTCAGCACATCTGCATGTAGCAGTGCTTGACTTGCTGCTAGTACTTTCACTTTTTCTGCCGGTCTAGTGCTCTAAGTACAGTAAGCAGATATCAAGAGAAACTCAGGTACTCTAATTTAAGTTTCATTTAGAAATACATTTAGTGATTTCTGCCTTAAAGTGACTCCAAACTCCGCAGTTAAACTTTAGAAATGCAGTCAAGTACATTAACTATTAACAGAAATGTATCTTATTTGTGTATCTTTCAGCTGGAGATCCTCAAATCATCTCTGAATTGGTGCCGACAATGACCTTCCTTCTGGAGGGTGGCTACTTTTGTTCCCCATGGTCCCTGTGTGTGTTCCCTATGGTTCTTCACCTAGCTTGCTCCTGTGTTAGACTACAACTTCAATACAAATTAACTAGAGTCTAGACCCTCAGGGAAAAGGTTCCAAAGAACCCTATGGAAAGCTACTATGTAGGCATTGCTATAATATTGGGATAGTAAACCCTGAAGGCAGCAGAAACAATTGAAAGTTAAGTATGCATCAGGTATGGGGAAGGAGGTGGGAGTAGGGGAAAAGAGTTTGAAAGTGTACTTATTAGGGATGCACCGATACCGATAATAGTATTGGTATCTGTGCCGATACCGAGTATTTGGGCAAGACCAAGCCGACATCCCAATCAATCAGCATTGAGTTGGCCAAGCAGCATGGATCCAGCCAATCAGGAAGCTGGGCAGCGGGTAATGACTCACCTCCTAGCTTCCTGAATGATGATTGGCTGGGATGCTGGCTTCCCAGCCAATCAGCATGGAGCCGGTCAAACAGCATGGAGCCAGCTTCCTGGGCAATCAGGAAGCCGGGTAGTGGGTAATGACACACTGGCTGGGTTCCTGATTGCCTGGGAAGCCGGCTCCATGCTACCGGAAGTACCGGAAACATAAATATCGATACCGAAAAACTGGTATCTGTGCATCTCTAGTAGTTATCCTTTAATTATAACGGTACAATACTCAAACACAGCCTGTTCTGTTTGTTAAAGCCCAATTCAAGACTCAGCAAAGCAGAAACCCTGTATAAGCTCAACGCAGACTGACTAGGATTGTATTAGGCAGTAATACAGTTAACATGTGTGATGACTGGTGTCACGACAATGGAAAAATCAGTCCTTATATGTTGCTGTTTGAAATAAAATATACAGAGAAGTAGTCTACAGCCAACACAATTTGCAACATTATACTGTCCTGAGTTATGAACAAACATGCTGACCCATTCATTGAAATTCAGTCATGCATAAGCCTTCCTATTCTTGCCACAGGTAAGGTCGGTGACTCAAGGCATTGAGAAAAAATAGCCAGCAAGGCAGCAAAGTAGCATCATCAGAAACAGAGCTCAGCAATGGCAGCCACAATGTTTGTCTCCTGCTAGGTTTATGGCAGTATCATTGGGGAGAACCTCTGAGCTGCCAGAGACACACATGACAGCTCAAGATGGGAGGGAGTGGGGAGAGCAGAGTAGCAGGATGAAGAGAAAAAGTATGAGACATGGGAAAACAAGTGTACAGTCCAGCAGAAAAAGTGGAGCAGGAAAGAGAAGTCCAGTCACATCCTGACAACCACTGTCACAAGAGGGCAGGAAGAGTGCCATCAACCCTGTGAAAATTCCAAATTGTGATTTGGAGCTTCCATTCTCATTTTTCTTCCTGCAGGTTCCAGTATTAAAGTGTATCTAAACCCAAAAAATATAACATTATTGCAGCTTAACAGTCTTTATGTGGTGGCTGGTTCAGACTTTTTTCCTTTATTTTCACTTGGTGATTTTTGCCAATAACACATTCCCTGTCTTAGAGTGACAACAATCACTGTATCTATGGAGGAACATAGTGGTCACCCTTGGTTACTTTGCAGATTTAAACTACAAACACTCCCCCTCTACAACTTATTTCTCCACAATACGGGTTCACAGAAGATAGAGAAGAAAGATGAAAATGTTGTTCTAAGATATCAGTTCAGGGAGTTACAAGGATTTCTGTCAGGAGAAACAGGCATTTTTCTGTGCTGGTAGAAAATGTACTTAGCCTTAAAAGAAGAAAACTAATGCAACTTCTAA